TTGCATAACTTTTCGCCTCAGTATAATTTAAACAGGTGAGTTATATAAACCCCAACCAGCACCACCTTTTTTTTGTACCAGGGTGTAAATATGTTTATTTCTGCTGTAAAGTTTGCCATTTCAACATGGGAGTCTGTGGGGACTGACTCATTTTTGGTGGCAGCCACAAGTGGACATTCAAGGAACTGCAGGTTTTCCACATTGGCTCAGTTTCATAGCCTTGGAGGTTGCTACTTGGTTTAGATGCCACAGCGGGGTAAAAAAAAAAACTTTATTCTTTGGGTCAGCCAACATTTTCCTTTTTGTGGAAAATAATAAAATCTGTATTCTGTGAATATTAGAAAACTGTAAAATGATATTCATACCAGTTATGTAGACTTGGAACCACAGAAAATAATGCATGGTCATTTGTTTCCTTCCACTAAGGCACAGACATCAATGACAAAGTGCAAGGCAACTTGAACACTCCAGCACTGATGAAGATGTTGAACACATCCGAGTCTAGTGACCTTGTAGCCACACCGAGACTGGAAGACAATAACATCACGTCCTTGGAAACACCACTGTCAAACCAGGACAAAATAATGCTAGAGACTCCTCTCCGGCTCTCTTTAACCCTGGATTGCGATATGTACGAGAGCGATGTGATGTTGGACACGTTGTCAGACACCAGCACGTGATTTTATCTTTTCAGGAGGTGGAACTGTCATAGCAGCAGGTTGTTATAGGTACACATATCCAAATCCAAGGACAATGTTCTTCAAACCAAAACTCTGGCACCTGTCTTCGACCAAAGTGGATTCCCTCTCCTGTGCAGTAGATATGGTTGTTCTGTAAGTGACAAAACACAGAACATGCCTGACCCAGTGAGCATTGTGAAAATGAGCAAATGTGTGCATGAAGTTATATACAGCAACTGCTGTACATACTAGTTTTGCAAGAATGCACTTCAGAGGGGGAATTAACACTTGTCTTGGTGAAGCGGTTAACTATCCCTTGGGTTAAGCCTGAAGATGTTCGGAACATGGGATCCTCTGACACCTGACTGACTGAACAGCACAAACACAGCTGTACCCTGCACATCACAAATAAGACTAGCCACTTATTGCTGCCTATGGCAGGACTCTGTTGCATAACCTGTGGATTTTCACCTTGAATAAAGAGCCAGCTAAATACAAGTAGTTTTGGTGATAAATATTCTTTTTGTTTGTTTTGTTTTTTTAACTACAATATACCATGTGTTTATATTTGAAAATGTTACCATATATTTTGTGATGAAACTGGTTGTATTCGTTAAAACCCACAGAACAAATGTTAAGTCAATAAGGCTGGAACATTTTTACTCTTATTTTCCACATATTGTCATATTGACCTTTGAGATAATGTATAGCTGGAGTGTGTGAAAGGATGAGTTGCATTTAAAACCTGTTGCAGTTTGAAACCTTCCATAACCCCAAACATTTTAGTAAACCACAAAGTTACAATACATACATACATACAAACATCACACTAATTATTCAGTGCTGTTGTTAATACTTAAGTAAATACCTACAGAGATTATATATACATTTTCCTGACATCTGCCCATATAGTTTAGTAGTTGTAGTTAAAACTGGAAGACGTTTTTCAGTGTTAAACGTTGTTACAAAAAAACAACATACATTTATCAGTTTGGAATGCAAAAGTAGCATTTAGTTTGAGGGGGAAGTATTTCACCCTGTTTAGCTGCATGAACGGAGTTTTCCACGTCACCCCAACCCCTCCAGACAAAACCCTGTCAAAAGGTGAACACGTGTGGAGCGGATTGAAGCTCAGACCTATCGTGTTCCGGTGAAGGAGAGGGGCGAGGTCGCTGCCTCAAATGAAAACACACATCTCCATCCTTCCTTTGACATCGACAGACCGCTCTCAGGATTCCTTTCTTTACTGCCCATACATTTTTATCAATGGATAGTGGCTGCAGTATCCCCAGGAGATATGGGCTGTACTCCGTCTAAGTCTGCTGTCGTTTGCAACCAGGACAGGGTCTGCGGGGACCTGGACACATGCTCCACTTTCGTTCCCAGCCTTAGGATGTCCGTGTCCACAGTAGAGAGGTGTCGGCTGTGTGTGGAGACTAGCGGTGGAAGGCAAACTTTACTCGGTGGTGAGTATGTAGTAAACTTGTTAAATTAATGTAATGCGCTTCGTACAAGTAATTAAAGTTTTACCAGGCTGTCGTTCGTATGCAGTGAAATTATACATCGTCCCATGTTTCCATTTAAAAATAGACCTGTGGACCATTTTTCTCCACAGTTCCCTGTAGAGATGTCCACGGGCGGTCAGTGAGCCAGTCCTGCCCTGAATCGTGGAGCTGTGCGGGCACTGTCAGTCCAGGCTGATCGTCCTGTGTGGACCAGCCGGACTCCGGACCTGCAGGTGACGCCGAGGACCGCGGGACTGCTTAACCGGCTTCACTCTGTTTCAACTCTTTTTGTTTGGTGTAAAAACTGTTTCATGGTTTACTGCTTTAATGCAGTGATGCACGAGTTTAGGCTACATGACGAATGAGTTGGTGAAAACCTGGCAACAGGTTAGTTATGCGATGAATGTGGCCTATATGCAGTTTTAATGAAATAAATCAATTTCTGAACTTCTTGAGTACCGATGATTGTGACTATATTTGAAGTCCAGCTGCACGCCCATTTAATGATGGCCTAAAGGGTTGAACTTGGCATTTTGCACATTTTGTTTAAAATAGACCACACTATTTGTATCAGCTCATGTCCATTCTCTTATTTTGTTTGTTTGATAACAGGCCTAACAACGAATACACCGTGGGCTGTAGGCTATATTTCTATTTCTATACAGACACAGACAATACAGTTAATAAAGACGTCTTTCCAAATCTCTCTCCACTCGCGATATTACTATTCTCTCGCGAGTACACAGTGACAACACGGGCTTGGAGAGGGAGATGGGGAGAAATGAGGTCTGAAAAGGACCAAATGACCGTGGGCAAGGAGAAAAGCGTCGTCGAGATACAGTTTAGGGACATCCCAAGAGAGCAAGAAAACACTCCTGGTAACCCCAAGCAGAAAGAAGAGAAGAAAGAGGTTTTTACGAAGGTAGGAAGCCGAGCGTTTTCGATGTGTCGCATTGTTTATGCTGTGTGGAAAACAAACATGGAGGCGGGATCGTTTCAGCACTGCGGACAGCGACAGCGCACATAACCTTGTATCAGCCTAGATTTCTCATTTCCTCCTGTGCCGTTTGATTTAGTTATTAAACAACGCTGCCAATTGCAGGTAGCAGCACAGCAAACATTCCAATATGTTACCACAATTCTCTCCAATCCAGTCTATTTTATTCTTGCATCATATGTGGTTTAAAACATGTTTTGTTACGTTCGGTTCAATAACCACATAGTATATGAGCTGTCAGGGTGTCATGTGATTCCAAGTAATGCTGTAAATAATAACCATTTTGGTATAAATTAAAATATATTTATTGGAGTATAATTGTTTCGTGTATAAACTATAAAGATTTTCGCAAATGAGAGCCTAACGTGTTGCCTTAAACCCATGTTACATTTACTTTTGTTCACTGCATGGTTAAAAAAAAATTAACTTATAGATTTGTGTTCTGTTTCAGCCCTTAAATACAAATTTCCTTAAAGTTAAAAAAAAAGCATAACAAATACTGGATCCTATGTATATTTTTCCTTAATGCAACTAGGTTCTATATTTTGCCACACTCACAAATGCCACTGTCTTTCAAACTGCATACTCTCAGTGTGATACTCAGGCGTTTTGTTAAAACGCCTAATCAAAAACAGCCCTATGGTTATTTTTGTTAGCCTTTTTAAGCTCTCTCAAAAATATATTGCTATGTATAATGTTACAGCAACCTCCCATCACCCAGTGTATACAGCAGATAACTCTAATTGGTCCTACATCTTGCAGACATATGTAATTACTTGCACCACTTTCTCAACAAGAGAAAAATATGCCAATAATTCATTACAGGTGGTGATTCGAAGGCTCCCACCTAACCTGTCAAAGGAGCAGCTACAAGAACAGCTCAGTCCACTGCCATCATATGACTATTTTGAATTCTTCCCAGCTGATCAAAGGTATAATAACCTTTACAAAGTTATGATCCATAAATCCTGTGGCCTTTTCCCTTTTATGATAATGTTTATGACCTCTCCTTCTTTCTCTTTGTCTACCCCCACAGTCTTTATCCTCACCTATTCTCCAGAGCATATATCAATTTTAAAAACCTTGAAGATATCCTGCTGTTTAGAGACCGATTTGATGGCTATGTCTTCATTGACAACAAGGGTATTTCTTGATTTTGTTTAAACTCACTTTTACTTTGTTTCCAGTATAGTGATATGAAGGTGGACAAACAGTGAAACCTGTTTGTGTATAGTTAATGGAAACAAAATCATATTTGCTTTACAGCTAAATGCTCAATTTTATGAGCATAGGCATGGCTATAGAGCTCTCACTGCTGTTATTATGATTTGATAGCTGGTCTGTTAAATGATGAGCTGGCTTATGTTTCAATATTTATTCAGGCCAAGAGTATCCTGCGGTGGTAGAGTTTGCTCCCTTCCAGAAAATTTCCAAGAAGAAGCTAAAAAAGAAAGATGCCAAAGCTGGGAGCATTGAAGAAGGTACACTGAGCTTAAGTGCAGTAGTTATGGTATTTAGCTTGTAAATATATAGTCTATGTAAGATATCATGGTGATGAAATATATTTTGCTTTGATTTATATTCCTGTTGGTCCTGAAACCCTCTCAGACCCAGAATATAAGCGGTTCTTGGAATATTACTCCTGTGATGAGGAGAAGTCGATGGCCAATCCTGAGACTCTGCTGGGAGAGATAGAAGCCAAGACCAGGGAGCTCATAGGTATGGTACTGAATGTACAAATGCTTATTTACCCTGATGCATTACAGTAAGTTTCAAGATCCAGATGTATACATATAAGTTATTCAGTGTCTGTTTACTTCTCTCCCTTTTTTTTGGTTCAGCCAAGCGGACAACACCCCTGTTGGAGTACATCAAAAATAAGAAGATTGAGAAACAGGTAAGAAAGAAACAAGTAGATAAATGAAATTTTCCACAAATTGAAATATTTTCTTATATGCCACATTTTTTTTACAGAGAATAAGAGAAGAGAAGAGAGAGGAGAGGAGAAGAAGAGAGCTTGAAAAGAAAAGGCAGAGGGAGGAGGAGAAGAGAAAGCGTCGAGAGGAGGAGAGACGCAAACGCAAAGAGGCAGAGAAGCAGAAGAAACTGTCTGATAAAGACATCAAAATCAAGGTGATTCATCACAAAAAAACCTTTCATACATATGGTACACTAGCTTATAGTTATGGAGCTTTCCTGTATTATTTGTATATTTAGCTATTGAAGAAGAGTGACAGAGATGACAATGTGGATTCAGACCGAATGAAGGACAAAAGTGACCTTGGGGAAACAGACAGAGGAAAATGGGAGAAAACTGGAGGACAAATTAAGTCAAAGGACCCAAAAGAAAAGTAAGGACTGTGAAATCTATAGCTGTGGCTGTGGGCAGTTTCATGTATACTCCTGGTATATTAAAACTTTCTAGTAAGAAATTAATTTTTATGTCAAAATGTGATTTTTACATCCACATTTCAAAATACACCTTGGTGGTAATGGCACCAATAGCTCATATAATAATAGCTACAGAACGTCATTGTAATAGTTATGTATCTGATGTCTGTGCAATCTGTACTCTGCCCACAAGAGGTCAGCCTGAGAGCGACAAGGAGCAGAGAGAGCAGCATGGACGCAGGCAGAGAGAAAAGGATCACCGTGGCAAAGATGAAGAGAGGAAACGACAGCGACACCACTATGAGTTTGACAAGTTTATGCGTCGCAAAGATGAGACAAAATGGGGGAAGGGCTACTGCCAGGACCGAGCCAAGAAAGAGGGGCACCATCATTATTCTTACTGTACTGACAGTGGAGACAAACTAGGAAAGGATGACAGGGAGGACCTGGGTAATAGGAAGGAACGCCTCCGAAACAAG